AGTTATGCATGTTGCGGATCGAACATTAATACAACTGCAACACTAACAGAATAGATATGGAAAAAATCAAAAAGGGGATGTGAAGAAAGTATGCACAAACATGAATTTTAATGATTTGTTATGGTTATATCCCTGCCTCCATGGATTGTGCACGATGGTTCTATTTTTATTTTTCTTTTTGGGTGAATTACCTGATTTAAAGGGTTGCTTAAAATATTACTGTTCAAATGATCATATTCATATACTAAATAAAAACAATTCTCATAATGAAATTTTATTTTACATTTCAAAACTTATACATCAAATCAGTAAACACATATTAATTTGTACATTTAACCTGAATTAATACATCATGTCATATTGTAAAATTTTATTTTCAATAAATATTGTCTAACAATCGTTTTCCTGAATACAGTAAGGCATTATCAAAATGACAACTATTTTGCACTAGAGAAAATATCATTACAGCAAATTTCGTGGAATTTAAGACTTTGGGCTTAAATTGAATACCACAATTGATTATTGATGACCCCATGGATCTCTTCATTGGGCTCCAATTCATTCAATAGCCCAAACTCAGACCTAACCCAGTTCCCTAAGGCCTAGTACACCGTAGTTTTTACCGGTAACGGTATCCGTATCCGTATGAAGGCAACCTGCTACGGCCTTTTTGAGGATAGGTTTAATACCCAATTTGGTCCTTAAACTTTCATTGGAGAACTTAGTTCGTCCTTTAACTTCAAAAAGCACACAAGTTGTCCTTTTACTTTACTTTTTTGTAACTCAAATGGTCCTTCCGATGATAGATTGCATACTTGGCACGTTTAAGTGTCCAACAATTATCACTTTTAATTTTTACATGCCTATGTGGAAAAAACAACTCAGCCATGCTTGAACTACTTGATGCAGGATTTGCATGGAAAGTTGATTGTCTAGATGACCCTTGAAGAAGCTTCAGTGAAAGAGAGGATGGGCCAGAATCACCAATGGACTCTCCTAGACTTAGTGTTGACATGCCAACGAGCTTGTCAACATTGATTGGGCTCTTCGAATGTATTGCTATTGGCTTTAGGACTTTATGTGTCTCTTCTGTAGTTGGCTCTGTGCTGCACCCCGGCCTAAATGGAAATGAAAATGGAAAGAATGGTGAGAAATAAGCAGGATACATCGATGGGTACTATGAGCTTTCTGACTTTGGAGGAGCTGGTTCACCATCATTAGAGTTGGTAAACTCCATTGATTCATTTTCTTCTGCCAAAGGTGGAGGGGCAAGCAAATGATCACTGTTTTTTTTTTTATTTTAATAAAATGTAAATTTTATTATCAAAACTTCTACTATACACAAAGCAACTTTTTATAATATAGGCTACTACCAATATTCACATACAAAGAATGAATTAGCTATACAAAAATGACATGTCAGTCTCTACACAAAACTTCTAATCCCCATTTTGAAGCAATACTATTGGGTATAAGGGAAGATTTTGCTCTAGCAAAACTAAGTACCTTGTTCTAGCAAAACTAAGTACCTTGTCACGGACATCTATTTGTATCTTACTTACAATTGCAAACTCACTTTTGAATGTTCATTTGTGAATTCTAGTTTTCCTCTCTATCCAAATATGGTATATTGTAGCACACTATGCTACTCTTATAAGACTATTGTATAATGGTTTCCATTTAGCCTTGTGACACAACCAAGACAAAGCAGATTGCCAAGAGAATGTGAATGGAATTTCTAACATGGAGGAAATAACTTCCCAACAGTCCTAGAGTAGGAGCATGAGAAGGAAAAAAATGCTCTTTAGTCTTCTTTTCAGCCCCACACAACACACAAGTAGCATCTACTTGGGGAGACCATGATTTTTGTCTTGCTCTAGTTGAAAGCCTGTCCAAAATAGCAAGCCAAGACATAAAGCTATGTTTTGGTATAGAATTTGCAAACCAAACAAGCCTGAAACAAGGCACTTTTGCTTGTTTTTCCCTCAAATGATTCCATGTGTAACCAGTTTTGAAGAATCCTGATGGAGATGCAAGCAAATGATCAATGTTGGTGAGTGTTTTAGCCTAAACTCTGTAGAATCTGCCATGCTTCCACTCTCAAATGAACTAGAACCTAAAACCGGACTTCATGCAGAACTAGCTTCCATTTCATGATTCTCACAAACCCAAAAGCCAAAAAGACAAATAGCAGAGGTTATACGGTTCAAGGGAAAAAGAAGGAATCACAAAGTTCAAAAGATTTAGGGTTCAAAGAAGAAGAAGGAATCAAGAGTTGTAGAGGATTTAGGGGTTAGAGAAGGGTTCGAAGGAGAAAGACTTGCAGAGGATTTAAGAGTCGAAGAATGAATCAATGGTTCTAAGAAGAAATTGCAAAGGATTTAAGGGTCGAAGAAGGAATCAAGGGTTCGGAGCAAAGGAGTCAATACCGTACTGGCATGCATATCAGTTTTGTTACTGGAACGATACGTACCGGATACTGAAATTTTTTGCGTGCCATTCCGGATTTATCGCTATAAATATATATTTTTACAAATTAAATACCAAATTTTAAAATAAAATAAGGGATACTAATATTTAAAACTATCATATTTTAAAATGATCATTTTTAATCCCTCAACTTCTAATATATACATATTTTTCTTCCATTATATGCATATTTTTCTTTCATTCACTTTAAATTAAGGAACTAAAAATGTGTATATTTAGACAAATTTAACAAAATAATTGATATAAGAATTAAAAAAAATGAAGAATGGACAAAAAAAAGTATATAAAAAAGTTAAAAGATGAAAATTATGTAAAACATTAAAGTTGAGGACCAAAAATGGAATTTATTCTTTTTAAATTTGAATTGAATTGTATGGACGATTTTTGTGTACCGAAAATTGCACTTGCAAGAAGCCCTTAGCCCGAAACAACGTTGTTTTGGGCTAAGGAATCCTTCTTCTTTTTTTTTTTTTATTTGCCAGTGTGTACCAATCGAAATTTCTGTGAACCGACCAGTACACTAAAATTTTGGCCAGTACATCGGATTTTGATCGAAATGACCGAATTTTGATCGAAACGAAAATTAATATTATATCTTTCGGTCTATTTAAAAAATCGGTACGTACCGACTGTACCGACCGATATGGTACGAAATTGACTTCTTTGGTTTGGAGAACAAAGAGTCAAGACTTGCAGAAGATTTAGGGGTCGAAGAAGAAGGACCTACAACCATCACCAATTACTTTCTCGTTTCTGGAATCATTTCATTTTTGGAAACTGAGCAATCGGTCAAAATGGTTCCAGAGGATTTAGGGATTTCGAAGAAGGATTTAAGGGATTTTGAAAAAAAATGAAATGTATGTCCCACTGTTTTTATTTTATCAAACGTGGAATGAAAATGATGCCATGTAATCAATTGGCTAAGGTGTTTTTTCCCCCATAGGCATGTAAAAATTAAATGTGGTAATTGTTGGATATTTAACGTGCGAAGTATGTAGTCTGTCAACGAAAAGACCATTTGGGTTACAAAAAAATAAAGTTAAAGGACAACTTAAATGCTTTCTGAAGTTAAAGGACGAACTAAATGAAAGTTTAAGTAACAAATTGGGTATTAAACCTTGAGGATAAGACCATCGAGAGAGGAGAGTAGAGGAGAGGAGAGGAGGAAGACACAGTACCCAAAATGGCTTCGATGTCGCTGATAACTTCATTGCCATGGCTTACGAGGAAATCCATAAGAACCCAAGTTCCTTCAGCTTCTTGCACTCTTCCCTTTGGGTCTAGAATAAGAAGCTCTCTATCTGTGAATGCGGCTAACATTACTGCAGCACGCCCCGCGTTGCTTCACTGTTCCTTTCTCCCTTCTTCCGCATCTTCTTCCTCCCTCGCCTCTTCCTTTTCAGATATCGATTTTGGATTTCACTTTTGTGAGTGTGGGTTTGAATTTGGGATTGTAGGTTTTTTTTTTTTTCATTTATTGATTGTGTTTATGTTCCCATTTAAATGATTAGTTGAAGTGAAAGTACTTCCGTGATGCTAACCAAGTAATGCTGTGTCTGAAATGGTAGATGGTTGAAAACTATAGTAGCTATTTTGTTGGGCTGTATGGTACCAATTATCCCTTTATATTTATGGTATGTTGGAATTTACCCCCTTATTATCAAGGACCAATTTTCATCCCAGAAACTCATTGTTGATGCCAAAGTTATCCGTTTCTGGAGTTTTTACAATAATGATAATTGGTATTTAATCAATATGCTTTTTGAACAATGTTCAATGACATTTCTTTTTTGCTTCTAAGACATAACAAAAATAGGCAAAAGGTACCATTTTGCCACTAAACTTTTCGACTTTTAGGGTTTTTGCCCTCGATATTACAATACATGAATTTTTACCCTCCATGTTTTCGAGTTGAGGAAATGAGGCAAAATTTAACGCCGGAACGTCACGTGTAGCACGTGCACCGTTGGCTTCCGTCAAGTATGCGCATGTCAG